AAACTGTTTCCCAGGGGACTCTCTCAACCAGTGACCTGAACAGGCCAGAGTCTGCCCTCTGGACGTCCAAGGTAGCTGTTTTGCTGTCCCCTCTCCTTACCTTACCAAGGATTGAAAACTTTATCATTTCATGGTCACTATAAATAATTTTTAATTAAGAATATAATTCTTAATATAAGAATATAATTTAATTTAGAAATAGAGAAGTGAACTGTGACACAGAGCAAATAAGATAATTAGTAAAACCCAAACATGCTTTATGAGTGAAAGGTTTTAATTTACTTTATTTTGCAAAGTCCTTTGGAGAAAGCTGGAGAAGATGGTAGCTTCTGGGAGTAGGTTCTCATTGGACTTTTTCATGCTGATGTGGAAAGTATTGAGGGTAGTGCTTGGGGAGGGCAGAGTGACTGGGGTGGGATTGAGCCTGCAGCTGGAAGGCCTTGGGGCTGAAGTCAATGCATGCTGTCTTTCATTTTAAGAAGCAACAACGCAAGACTTCTGTCTGTATTCAGCATCCATTTTTTTGCCAGTGCTTATCTGTTATATTTGACCTGTTGTGACAGCAAGAGAGAGTGAACAAAAAGAGAAAAAAATGCACAGGTTTTATTCCTGTGTTTTTCTGGTTTTAAAAGGGTAGGCAATATGATAACTTATTGTATGCAAGAGCTATTGATAAAAGAATGAACCTTGATTTTTGGCATCATATGGACACCCATACCATGCTGTCTTGAACCTCACCCCACCACTTGCCCTTTATAAGATTTGCTCCAGTTTAGTAGGTCCAGCAAAGAAATTGCATTGAAATACATTTACAACGTAAAGATTTGAAAGGTGATTCTTCTTACATAGACTGTCAAGTGTTTTCATAGCACGTGTACTTCTATAGTATTCAGACACACTTAAAAATTTCATGCCTATGGGTATTTAAGAACATGGAGTCATTTCCTTCCAATTTTAATCCCTACAGCAAGAAGAGGCATAACTTCATACTAAAGTAACACCTTTAAAAGAGATGGCCTTTCTTGTTATGTTACATGGCCTTGACTGTTCTTCCTGCTCACTCTGAGTAATGGGAAAATCTGAATATATTTCTAGCTTGTACTAGCTAGACCACTGCAGCACAGGCAATGAAAAGTATTATTAGGGGGAGACGAACAGATAAAACTGCTGTGTGAATGAGAAATTAAAATCTGTTTAACAGTATACTTCACAAGAACTAGTGGCATTAGAGACAGTAAGGTGGATAGCCTCGTGCCTTCTGTTTAAGGCAGCAAAGCAGCGTTTGCATCTGACCTGTGCCAAGGTTTCTGTCTACCCTCTGCTGGTTGAATCATGGGAAGGCATTTTATATATGGGTCGAAAGCAAGTTAGTGTTTTGCTTAGAGGGTCTGTCCTCTTGAGTGTTCTATAGAGAGAGGAGGCAGATAAAGAAAAACAGGGTTGAAAAGAAGCTAGCCTCCCAAAGAGACACCACAGACAGTGTTTTTTGTAACAGCACAGCAATAATCCAGACAAAGGTAATGAATGTAGCAGTTGTTTCTGGCAGTTTTTCCTTAAAGAATGATGGGATATGGGGTTTTTGAGCTGTCAGGAATTCCCATCGCTTTTTTGGAAAGACTGACTTGTGGAAACTATGCTTTACTGCACAGTTAATGCCCAGGAATTTGCTTTGTCTTTTGTTGCAGAGTTGCTGCTTGAATCAGTGTTTCTCAGCGTTGATCCTTACATGAGGTATATCTTTCTCTTCTTTTTAAATTGCTGGCTAAGTTACCTCATTTGATCTCCCACTTAAACCTCAAAAGAACATGTACTGGGAGCACCCGCTGTTGCCAGAGTCCCAGATGCCTTTCTCTGCATTTTATAAAATGTGTGTAAATTAGAAGACTCCCAATATGGAGCTGTGGGAGATTTAGCCAGACATTGGGATATGATGCTGCAGCCCTAGACTTTTCTTGGAGTCTGCTGTTGTTCCTTGTCATGTCTCTTCCATTGGAATGCAATGGGCTCAAATAAGACTGCAGCCCTTTTGCAGTAGCTGCTTCACTTGTCTTAGCAACCTTGTACTTAAGGATACATATTCTAAGTAGGAAATTGGTGATATGCCCATGTTAATAGGTGGTAGTTCAAGCACAGGGAGACTGGGTAGTTTAAAGAAGGCTGGTGGACCCTAGTGTCAGAGATAGTTCTTTGGCGTCTCAGACTTCTTGTAGTGGTGGACCATGCGGGGAAGGTTAATGCTATTGTGTCCCCAACACTGTAGCCCAGTATTTGGTCAAGATGGGATGCTCAAGTAGCTGGCTATGGAAAACATCCAGTTACGTCATTACAACGACAAACTCTTTGCGATCGGTTCAACATCACTGCTTATGCTGTCTTTCTGGGTCAGACAGTAGCTACTACTTCATACTGTATATCTGGAACATCATTAAAGTTGCTTACAGTAAGCCATCTCTGCTTGTGTTACAGACCTTACAGTCGAAGGGACATGAAGGAAGGGGATATAATGATAGGAACACAGGTTGCCAGGTAAGATCTTTGGTTCTTGTTTTCCATACACATGTCAGATCTCAAAAGAATGTACTGACATTTGAGACATCTGCAGGCTGCATTACCTATTCTTGACTTGAGTCTACATACTTCTGCAACTGCATTCTTATCTGTAATTGATTGGAATGTGTTTTTCTTCCGAGAACCTCTTTTGCCTTCTCGGAGAGCATTTAGCCCTCTGATACAATCTCTATGTTATTTCTGGCAATAATGTTTCCAAAGGAAATTTTTGCAAGCAGATGTATGAAGGACAAACCATTGTACTTGCCATTAAGTGTCCACTTCACATTTAAAAATATGATGTGCTGGTAATTGCATGCCTGAAACCATGCATGCTATCTACTCCAGCTGAGAATACCTCAGTGTCACCTAAGGTACAGCTCTAGCCAAAGGATTATCTAACCTTAAATCCATCCTTTCCCAAGTTTGTGGTAATTCAGCTGCACAGATATTTCCCTTTGTCAGCTTGTTCCTGCTGTGCTGCCTCTAAATTGCTGCCCAGGAACATCTGTGGCCTTTGACTCTTTTGTTTCTCTGCAGGAACACTAAGGGCTGGGATGAATTAACAACCAAGTCTGCTGAACAGGCAGCCAACTGTTTCCAATATTTCAAAGCTCCTTACCTACCCCTTCCCAACGTAGTTTTGCCGTTGGGCTAAGAAAGTTGAATTTTCATTTGGCATAGAGACACGACAAGTAGGAACTTCTCCCTGTTATTAGATACTGCTTTCTATCTGGTTTTGTTTCTCCAAGAGGTTCCATCTTCAGGATCTTTCACCTTTAAATGAGGTGCAAGTTGTCTGAGAAGGGAACTGCTTGTTACAGCCTATCTGTGACTTCTTGCTTTTCCACTCTTTAATCCCAGCATCCTCTTTCCTGCCTTCTAACTCACAGATGCCTAGTCTGAATTCTTACTAGGCTGGTGCTAGTAAAAAAAAAATCAGCACCCCTGTGGGAACATTGGATTTGTTGTGGGCAGAGCTGAGTCTAGAACCATCTTGCCCAGTATCCCCCTGGTGATGAGAGATTGTAGACATTTCAGGAATGACATCGAAGCCTACAGCATCAGCAGATATGGGCTAAATGTTCTGACATGAAATATTTCTTTTCTCCTGTATCACAGGGCAACAGGAATAAAGGAGGAAAGAACTAGTAATGATTTGTCTTTGGCAGGGTATTTTTTTTCTTTTTTTTTTTTCTTTTAAACAGGGTTGTAGAAAGCAAGAATCCTGCTTTCACAGTGGGGACATTTGTTGTGGCTGGAAGTGGCTGGAGAACTCATTTCATCTCTGATGGGAAAGACCTACAACTCATTCCTTCCAGTTGGCCGGAATCACTCCCCAGATCTCTGGCTCTTGGGACAGTTGGCATGCCAGGGTGAGTTTCAAGATGCAAAGGCAACTATCCCATGGCTTTTGATGTGGAAGATGTTTCTGCCTATCTATATGACCTTTTCCCTCATCTTGTTCTACCAGCATGTTGTCATTCACTCTGGTAAAAAACGTGTGTGCTTCCAGATGCCCTTACCCTGTAGGTGGCCTGAAGTTTGGCCCATCCTCTAGATCAGAGGAGATTTGCTTTGGACATTACAGTGTCTCTCCTTGAAGAATTGTAATAAGGTAGGAGGAGGATCCAGGAGGGGCTGGAAAGAATCCTGTTCAATCTGAATTAATCTCAGTGGAAAGAATGAAACTTCACTGGCACCTGGACTAGTCTGCTTTTGCTGATTGGATTCTTCTGCTATCACTGTATTTCCAGAATTGCCCCCAAAATGGCAAAAGACAGTTGTCGTACCGTGCAGCATAATAGAGATCCTTTAAATTGCACTGCAGCAGACAGAGCTGCTGTGCTTCGGAATCCATATTCACTACTGCAGTCTCTCAGTCATCTTCTCACATTTCTTCTCTCTTTCTCTGTAGTTTGTATGGGAGATCAGGACTTGCTCAGTCCTGTTGACACAGAAGGCTTTCAAAATGATTGTAACATTGTGTGTGATGTAGAACTTCTCAGATTTCATTTTTATCATCAGGCACGATGGATGTTTTTCCAGACAGCTGCTAGATGGATTCAATTCACCCTTTCAGTTCAAACCAAGTAGGAAGCTCTAAGCTTGAATTTAGAAGAAAAGTTTGTTGGGATACTGGGACAATTGATCATGTTGCTTCAGGAAGCTTGTAGAGCCTGATGTAATTCAGTGTTTATATAATCAGTGGAACATGCTTGAGTTAAACTTTAGTGGTTCCTACAGATTACTTTTCACCCAGTAGCCATAGCTGTGCACAGTAGTCCTCAGGAGCACTGTGCACATCAGTTCAGCAAGGTTTTGCCACTGTTTTTCCTTTTTCTGCCAGCTTTGATTTATGATGAGTATTGTTTAATCTTTGCCTCAATTTGGTGGATACCAGTTGGCTGCTGACCTCTGTCTAGTTTGGATCTACTCTCTCTTCCAGTGTGTAACTGAGTTCTTACCTTAGGGAATTATCTCTGTATTTCTCTTTTTGGCTAGTGAGCACAAGGAAAGCTGTTTTCAACAAAGGTAGACTTCTGCCACAGCATCCTGTTTCCCAGTAGTATTATCTGTTTTGTTTTGTTTTGTTTTGTTTTCTGGGATGGCTGTAGAAAAGCCAAATTTAGAAGTTTGGGTTAATTTTTGTATTTCATAAAGAATGAGGAAAACTGAATCTTGTTCTGGTTGTGACGGTTCAATGTGGTCAAGTCACATCTCTGTGTCTGCTGTCTTTTGTTCCTCACTGAGCATTCTTTCTTTTTCTTCACAGCCTCACTGCATATTTTGGTTTGCTGGAGGTCTGCAAGATAAAGCCAGGAGAGACGGTGCTGGTTAATGCTGCAGCTGGTGCTGTGGGTTCTGTGGTGGGGCAGCTTGCTAAAATTGGGGTGAGTGGCTTGAACTGCTTATACTTGCTCGTCAGAAGGCTCACCTGGGAGACAGGGGAACAAGGCCATGAATGATGAGGAGGGCAAGCATCCCTGAAGGCATGCCTACAGTAAAGTCTTGAGATGAGGCAAGCTCCTGAAGATGTAGCAAAGCTAGTTGAATGTTTCCTAGAGCACAGGAACTTGTATGGTGATGACAGCGTGACTTTAAGGGTGTGCCCTACACGCAGCGCTCTGTAAGCGTCAGCTTGTGTTGTGAGGGCATGTTTAGAAATGTTTTCCTCCTTTCCTTGCAGGGTTGCAAAGTGGTTGGCTCTGCTGGCTCAGATGAGAAGGTTGCCTATCTGAAAAAAATAGGCTTTGATGAAGCCTTTAATTACAAGACGGTTACATCTCTGGATGAAGCACTGCACAAAGCCTCTCCTGATGGCTATGACTGTTTCTTTGACAATGTGAGTTCAGAGAGAGGGTCTTGCCCTGAGCAGACTGCCATTTTTCTTAAACTATAGCAGGAACTCAATGTTGTATACATCTAACTGTAGAATACACCAGGAACTCCATATTGAGTACCATCCAATTGAGAAAGGGTCTCTGTAAGAGCTTACTGCTTTCCACTTCCCTTCCCATACTTATTTCTGCAGCTGACTTGGGCAGTAACAGAAAGAACAAAGACCAGAAGGCAAAGCTGGATTGCTGGCGGTGTTTGTGAAGGGAGAGAGAGAAGCTTCTCTTCACTCTCTGGAAAGTATGGCACATTTTGGTGAGGTGAGGATCACCACTGAACATTTAACTGATGCTGAACAGAGAGAGCTCCACTCCATTCCTGGCCCCACCTTGGGCCACAAGCAGTTCTCTGCTGTTGCTGGAAAGGGAGCAAGCATGGATGGCCCCGCGTTACATGGTCTGAGTGGCTGTACCAGTACCTGTAAATGAAACAGTTGCAAGGCCCACTTGTAAAATTGCTGGAGTGGCATGCAGAGGGTTTCTGGCCTCTCCCAAGTACAACTGGAGTTAATAGGGCCTGTGGTCTGTTCTCAATAGGCTGTGTGAATGTGACAATCTTGTTTTGGAGGCTAAGAGAGTTTAACAGTATGGCTGCAGTCAAACCATGCCAGTTCACCTTCAAGCCAGAGAACAACTCCTGGCTTTTTTCACTTCCTAGTACAGCTAACGTACGCATTATACCTGATAATATAATACCTGGCACAGGGCTATTAGCTGAGATACTGGCCTAAAACTCCTTGACTAGCTGCCGGGTTTAAAGGGCAGCCATCATTACCCCTTTAGCGTGTCTTCTTTCAGCAACGTCTGCTGATCCAGGGGTGACGGTGCTGTTGTTCTGTATGGATTACAGTGCGCCTGCCTTGCCCTGGCAATCGATATGAGTGCACGGTGCCACAACAAAGTGCTTGCTCCTATGGTAGGAGCTCCTGGTTGCTTTGCCTCACCTTTCCAAATTTAATGTCCTGGGCTGCCAAGGTCTGAAATAGGTTTTATGGTCACGTCCGTTCCCTTCCCTCTCACTTCTAGCTTTTGTGTAGAGCTCTCCCCAGCAGTCAATTTTCTCACAGCTTTTCTCCATTAAAAGCTTCTGAGCACAGCACATCCCTATGTGAGAGAAGAGAATCATTAAGTAAAAACTTGACATCACCTTGATGTGAAGAGATAAAAGTGCAGACTGGGGTGGGGGAAAAGCAGAGGTGATGCTTTTTAGTGCCCCTAGACATACCCCTTAGGAGGAGGGATCTAAGGGCAAGTCCTGCCCAACGCTTCCAAACCAAGCTTTGTGAAGCAGATTTTGTATTAAAACTGATTCCCTGAGTTCATAACTAATGTTTAGAAGAGTGAGATCAAGTCCTTGTAGGTGGAACTCACCTCTCCACCCCTTTATTGAACCTGTTGGTGCAATAATGCAAGGTTGGCAGGTTTTGGCAACCTTAGTTGGCAGTCAGTGCCAAACACTGGATTGTCTGTAATGCTGCACATGCTTTGATTCTTGTAGGTGGGTGGAGAGTTTGCCAGTATTGCTATCAACCAGATGAAGAAATATGGAAGGATTGCAGTCTGTGGAGCCATCTCTCAGTACCATGACTCCATGCCTCAGAAAGGTGTGGGCCTGTTTTCTTGTGTCTAAATTTATTTCCTGTTTGGTGATGGCAGAAAGATAGACATAATGTCTTGAGATGTTATGGGTTGTTTCCGTATGCCATTTGAGTGTATGTATGTGTGTACACTTGGGTAACTAACCACTGCTCTAGGACAGCGGACTCCTTGTGTGTACATGCACTCCTCCTCCTTTGTGCACACTTGTATGGGATGGAGAACATGAGCTGATTAGAAATGAAAGAGAGACTAAACTGCTTAAAACAGGACTCCTCAGGGCTCTCAACAGATACAGACCAGTAGAAGGCAGATGTGGTGGCATGATGCCACTTACAAAGTACATACTTTTAGATGAGAGAGTGGATTTCCCTCTGGTTTTTAGATGAGGCAGCTTAGAGTTTTGGTTTTTTTTTTTTTTCCCTTAAGATTTCAGCTACTGGTGAAACTGCTGGGAGATGTGGCTGAGATGAATATTCACTTTCAATAGCATAAAGTTTTTCCAAATTGCCTTCTGGAAGACATGGCAAGTCTGAATTCTCTTTGACAACTGACTGGCTTTGGACTCCCAGATCAATTTAAAAATGGGACAGGCTTTTGAGAGTGGGGAGACTATCAGACATTTTTGTGATTGAGGGAACTGTTGTTTAATGTGTATAACTTTTTTGAGATTTAGGAAGAGCATGAGAGCTTGGCAGGCTATCAAAGAAGCTGTCAAAACACTATTTCCAGGACTCAGGTGAAGCCCCTCAGGAAAAGCTGAGGCCTCTTTGCTTCTGAATGAAACTGTTTTCAGAAGTGTTGGATGTTCAGCCCCACAGCTTTACAGATCAGGCCTTTGTTTCCCCGGGTGACTGTGCATGAATCCTTGGCCTTTTGTCCTGGAAATTCTGTTTGGAAAAAATAGCAGTTACTTCTGGCTGGAACAAAGTGATTCAGTGGTCTTTACCTGCTCAAAGCTCACTTTATGCATTGTGTCTTATTTTAAATGAAACTGATATTGCAGGTAGTTTGCTGGTTCTTTTCTCTTGCAGGGCCTTATGTGCAGGTTCCAATAGTCCTCAAAGAGCTTCAGATGGAAGGGTTTTTGGTGACCCGCTGGAATAACCGTCGGGAGGAAGGTCTGAAGGCACTGCTAAAATGGGTCATGGAGGTAAGGAAGGAAGGGGTAGTTTTCTGTGTTCACATCATAGCTTTCCTTTTTGCAAGGGGTCTCTTGTGGTAGCTGTTGAGGTGAGGTCCCAGCGTGATACTTTTTTTCCACCTGACTTGATCTTTGAGCCTTTTGGGCACACTCAAACCATAGTGAACATGCCTGATCCCTTCTGCTTTGTTGAGATCTGTGATACTAGGTTGTAGACTTACATATATTCCAGAATACATGTAGGCTTTGAAAAAGGATGCTTCCAGAGTAATTCAAAACAATTCTCTGGCAATGAAGAATTTCATATTTAGAGTAATTTCTCTATTTCTCATTCAGAAGTCTCCTTTCATTTGTAGTATGAACAAGGATTTCCATTGCAGTGTTGTGCTGAAACTACTGACAATAATGGATGTTTTTATGGAATTGGGAGCTGGGCTTTAAAGGGATTTTATAGGGAACTTCTTAAATTTTATTTTTCTAAATGGAGGCTGAGTTTAACACTTGGTTCATGACTGAAAAGCTTGTGAGTGTGACCACTAAAGGCTAAGAGGGTCTAGCTTTTACAAACATGAGGATTTGGGATGGCTCAGCTTTTAATCACTTAGATTTGCAATTCCATACTTCCCTATGGGTAGAGACAGACCTGGCTTTGGGGGAATAATCTCCTGTCTGTCCATTGTTCGGGGACCAAGTAACACTAAATCGGTCCTGGTGTGTTTTTATAGCAGTGACTTTTGCTCGCTGTTACGACTCCAAGTATCACAGAATCATAGAATGGTTTGAGTTGGAAGGGACCTTAAAGATCATCCAGTTCCTGTCCATGGGCAGGGACACCTTCCACTAGACCAGGTTGCTCAAAGCCCCATCCAACCTGGCCTTGAACACTTCCAGAGAGGGGGCATCCACAACTTCTCTGGGCAATCTGTGCCAGTGCCTCACCACCCTCACCACGAACAATTTCTTCCTTATATGTAATCTAAATCTTCCCTCTTCCAGTTTAAAGCCATTGTCCCTTGTCCTCTCACTACATGCCCTTGTAAAAAGGCAAACAGAAGGTCTTGCAACAAAAGCAGATCCTCACAACAGCCCACCTAGTTTTGCAAAGTTACCCTGGAACATGCCAGCTTGCATGTTTCAGATTAAACATACAAGCTGGAGAAAATTCAGTTGCAATTTAGTCTCCTGAAGATGGTAAAACCTAGGCAGCTGGTGAATGAAAACTCCGCAATTTCCTTTCTTACTTTTGACAGGGAAAACTGAAGTGCCATGAACAAGTCACTGAAGGATTTGAGAACATGCCAGCAGCTTTCATTGGAATGTTAAAGGGAGAAAATCTTGGAAAAGCCATTGTAAAAGTCTGAAGGTCACATAATCCTGGGAGACTGGCACAGGAGAATGTGATTCTGTTAAGTACTTTTAACTCACATTGAAATGTATGTTTCAGTCTTTTTGGTAGACGTTCGGTGATGGTAACTTCTGTTAATAGTTGAGCTAATAAGTGTAAGTATATGCCAATCACTTTGCTCTTGAAGAACTGGAGAGTTGCTTCCCAAAGCTATACAAAAAAAAAGTGCCTTAAAACTGAACTTCATCAGGACTGTAACAGATTTAATAGTAGCTTGAACCTTTCTACAAGTTGGCTTGTAGAAAGGAAAAGCAATTGGAAAAGCTTTGCCAGCTGATGGCACATCTGATGACTAATGTTTACCCATTGATTTGGCCCAGAACTTGGCAAGAGGGATTTTTTTAACCAATACCAAGGAGCAAACAGGCTAACAACACCTGGGGGTTCCCAGCTTCCTCACTGGCTGGCTTTTTATTACTTTCATCAGGAAATGTAGGTATCTATATCTCAGTTATTCTGAGATTATGGAAAGAAAAAATAAATCTGTTAATGAACACTTTGCGTGTGTTACAGTTCTGTTTGTGGAATGCCCTCCTCTTCACTTCCTTGCAGTTAACAGAGTGGCTAAAATATTACAAGCACTTATTCATCCCAGCAGATCTCACAGTACAGTTGATATGGATAGGTCACTTATTTCCTTGAATAATTTAGCCATTGGTGTCCAAGCTTAGAGTTGACCTTGGTGTTCACCCTGGCTCTCCTGGAGATCAGATCGGTATGCTGGCCCTAGCTATGTTAAATTGGTGTGCAGGACCCACATGGTGCTGAGTGAAGGACACACACAGGTTAGCAACAGTAAATATCTTAGATGTATTGAAAAAGCCAGAACAACAACGTACAGGATACAGATAGGTATTAAAGATGATGGTTATCCATCTTCAACCACTGTGGAGGACTTCTTGGTTAATTTTCTGGGTGTCATTATTGATCTGTGAGAGGGATCCTAAGTGGCCTTAATGTCTTTCTTTGCAGTACCAGGATTAGATGCTCTGTCTGTCAACAAGAAGAGGTTGCTTACTCAAGATGTAGATCAAATGATACTTGCTCAGTGGACTGAACAACACATACGTCCTGAAATAGAGGTTGCCTGGCCACTGGGGAAATAATGCATCTTGGCACAAGTAGGGGAGAGGTTCTGGTTGCTTTACAAGGTTTTCTGAGGAGAACGAATTGCCAGTTTGGGTTAGCTCCAGTGCTGTGGTTTTCAGTTGGCCTCTGATAAGGATCTGTGGATTAATACCGCTGCACAGTGTGGAAAATGGTAAACCAGAAAAGGGAGTTTGTTGTCAGTAGACTTCAGATCCACTGTGTAGAGGTCTGCTGTTGTTTGGTGGCTTTTTACTGAGAAATTTTTCAGAGAGTTTGCAAGTCCTAAGATACTGAATTGTTTTAAGTCCAGTGAATTCATGATCTCTTGTTTCAAGTAAAGTTGTGATTTGGGAATGAACTAGAAATAGCCACATGGGGTTCCTGTCCCTTGGTTGGCATTGCAGAAAGATTTGTCAGTCAGAATAATCCTAGCTCAGCCTGTTTTCTCATAAAATACTGATTTGTACATTCCCCTTGCTATCTGTGTACAGCCTTTGTGCTTCGTGAATGGCAGCTGATTTTGCAAGGCTGTTTTACCCCCCAAACATGACTTTTTTTATAAAACCAAAACCCCCTGAACCTCCGAACTTCACTGGGGAACACAGCTATTTCCTCCTGAAAATCCAAGTTTTCTGTTACCTGGAACACTGCCAGTATGTGAATAATGACACTAATATCCCTCATTGTCCAGCATTGTCTGGAGGTCTTGCAGTGGTTTCTCACTGTGAGCTTGGTTGTCCTCAAAGTTCTAAACCTTATGGAAAAGTACCTGAATTTTTCCACAATGTGTTGATGAAAATAAAAAGGGAGTATTAAAAACACAGATTTTTTTTTTCCCTGACAGTCATGGGAGAGAGAGTGTCAGTGGCGCAAGGTAGGCTGAAGGTCTCAAAAACTCTATTTCTCCCCTCTAGTGAAGCAAACTAACCCTATGAGTACAATCAGTGTGATGAAGCTAAACAAGTGCCAATGCCGCGCAGCGAGCAAAGGTGCAGCGATGTGTTGCTGGCATAGGCCTGTTCTGCCAATACCTGACTACATGTGCTTTTAAGCAGAGCACTGGTCCAGCTTGCCCTCTGGCCAGTTGCACAAGGCCTATCAGCAGCAAATGCTGAAATACCCTTCTTCTAACATTGTCATTCTGCAGCTGAGCTTAAATGCTTTCTGGGAAAGGGTGAGTTCTTGGTGGTCCCACTGGCTGTCAGAAAGTGTGCAAGGGGTGGTGTGGGGCTAGGTCCTCCTTGGCACTGCAGCAATCCTTTGCATGCATCTGCAAAGCTGAAAAGGGTGTCAGCTCTGCCTAGGGTGCAGTGCCCATTCCTCAATGGCCCTGCAGCTGGGGGCTGTGCTGAGAGTCATCTCTGGTCTTTCTGTGCTGCTTTTCTCCAGTCCACGTGGCCGTGTCTGTGCCGCTAACTAAGTTACACTTAGTAAGTAGGCTTGACAGTGGGATTTCTGAGGCCACGTAGGATCCCAGTTCATTGAAAATATATGAGAGCAAGAGGAAGAATTTATTTAATAATCTCAAATGTAAACCGCTGCAGGCTTTGTCATCTGTTGACTAAATAGCTCTTCATTTATACATATCATTATTTCTAGAATAGTGGTTTAACTGCTTAATGCCTTATGCCTGCCTGTGCAAAATGAAACATTCTCTAGATTAGAGGTGTTCCAGTCTAGAAAATATTGCAACTTTTGTGTCCTCTTCCTAAGCAAATTCAAGCTGGGGCTGGTGGCAATAGCCTGCTTGAGCTCAGAACACAGTGGGAACCAGCCTTGAGGAGTTTGCCGTGGCCTCAGGAAGCCCTGGGAATTGCTGCAAAGAGCTGTAGGTTGCTGAAACCAAGGAGCTATTCCTGGAGTGCATTGCTGCCTGCTGAGCTTCTCTCATGGTCCTCCATGGTGGCTGCCCACAGGAGGGGTCAGGACAACATGGCCCAGCAACAGCATCCATTCTCACATGAGCCCTGTTCCCCAGCTGAATCAAATCCAACTTTAAATCCCCCAGCATCTCTGATGCAGTCTCTATTGAAGTGAACACAACATACCTCAGGTCCTTTGCTCTTACCTTGCACCCGTGACTGCTGACTGTAGCTGTTCATCTCTCACACCCCGACCCAGCTAGACAGCATCAGCTCCAAACAGGTCCTTCACAGCTTAGCTTGCTGCTGGCCACTACCTACAGCGTGCAGAGTTGCCTCCTGTCCCTGTCCTTAGCCCCTCGTCACTAGCTGAACATGGGCTCCGCTTCCTAGTAAACGGAAAGCCTTTGTGGCCACCCTGCTAAGCGGAGCTAAAACTGACCACTGTGTTTCCCCTATCAGCAGGCATCGCAGTTCTGAGGACTGTTCATGGTGCCAGCCCTTGCTCTTCCCCCAGACTCCTCTCTGAGAGGAGCTAGAAGGACATGCAAATAAAGGTGAAAAAACAGATTCAATTGCTTCCCTGAGGAAGTGTCATGGACTGACTCAAGTGGAGGGCAGATGACCCAAGCCTAGTCTAAAACTCCTCTTCTGTGGATGCAGTTGGGCCCAATGACTGGCTTCTCCACCTCCCTAGAGTCTGTTCACACCTCTACCACATCCACCCCACCCCACATGCTCCAGTTCCTGGGGACCAGGCAGATGGTGTCACATGGATAGAAGGAACCCACCCCCCATGCATTCTCCTCTAGCCCATTACCTAGAGATACTACCATTACCCCAGTGCTGTCAAGAGAGGGAAAAAATCACAAGGCATTCCCAGAGCCAGAGTGTGTAAAAATATAACATAGATGGTCACTGCCACCTTGTGGCGATTTGCACCTATCACAAATGTGTCTTCACCAGTTGCAGGTAGATACAAGGCTTCATGCAGCTCCCATGCATTCTTCACCTTCTCTGTGTACCAACCTGGACCATCTCAGCTTTCCCTCTCCAGTGGAGGAAAAAAATTGCATTTCATGTGGATGTGCTTCCCCAACATCTCCACAAGACTTTTTCAAGTTCCTCAAACTCATTTGGTTGATCCTTAGCAAATGTGGAAGCATCTGGCTGGGTATGCTTCTCACCTGTGTGAAACCTCCATTGAAAATAAAGATACCACAGTATGTTCAACTCCGCTCAGCTAAACCAAGTACAGTGCCCACTGCCTCCCCAGAGCTCCTTATTGGACTCTTCCTCCCGCCATAGTTTTGTGCGTAGTCTTATGACAGAGACAGACCCAGGGATGAAGGTTTCAGCAGGTAGGGTAGCATTGGTACACAGTTAGTGGTTCAGATGAAGAGCACAGACTTTGTGCCACGGCCAGGCCCCCCGCTAAGCCTCACTGCAGTCCTGCACTGCCTTTTCTCAGCATGTCAATGTATTGGGTTTATATGGGAAGGTGGAGGGGGGGCTGCAGGAGTGGCTTCTGTGAGAAGACACCAGAAGCTGCCACCACATCAGAGACACTGAGAGCCAGCTCCAAGAGGGACCCACCGCTGGCCAAAGCTGAGCCCTCTCTCATAACACATTTAAGAAAGGGTAAGAAAAAGCTACGCAACAGCAGCAGGGAGAGAGGAACAGCCCTTCAGGCCCCCAGGTGAGTGCAGGAGGAGGAGGTGGTGCTGCAGCCCTGGAGCAGAGATTCACCACCAGCCCGTGGTACAGCCCATGGTGAGACCAGCTGTCCCCTTGGCATCCCATGGAGGCCCATGCTGGAGCAGATCCACACCTGCAGCCCCAGGAGGACCCCACGCTGGAGCAGGGGGATGTGCCCAAAAGCAGCTGCAGCCCATGGACAGCCCACAGAAAAACTGGCTCCTAGCAGGACTTCTGGACTGTGAAAAGGAGCCTATGCTGGAGAAACTTTGCTGGCAGGACTTGAGGCCCATGGGAGACCCACACTGGAACAGTCCATTCCCAAAGGACTGTATCCCAGGGACCCCAAACTGGAGCAGGGAAAGAATGTGAGGAGGAAGTAGCACCAAAGACAACATGTTCTGAACTGACTGCTATCCTCATCCCCCTGCACTGCTCAGAGGTGTGGAGATGGAAGAGCCAGGAGTGAAATTGAGCCTGGGAAGAAGGGAGGGGTAGGGGAATGTGTTTATAGGCTTGTTCTTTCTATTCTACTCTAATTGTAATAAATTAATTTCCCCCAAGTCAAGTCTGTTTTGACTGTAATTTCTGAGTGATCTCCCTGTCCTTATCTCAAGCCACAAGCTTTCCTGTCATTTTCTCCCCCTCTCCTGCAGAGAAGGAGTGATAAGAGGGGCTTGAAGGGTACCAGGCAGCTAGCCAAGGTCAGCCCACCAGCCAGTCTCTCCCATCCACCACCAAATATCAGGGACAAGCACTACAGAGTTGGTCCAGCGAAGATTTCACCAGCATGTTTGTCAGGCCAATTCCTTGGGGGGCTGAAAGCTGCTTGTCATAGAACACAGCACAGAGGAGCTGCTATGCCACAGTTTGCTGGCACTGGTAAAGCAAAGAAGTTGGTTTTTGTCCTTGCTAGATCCAGCTAGTTTTGATGAATGAAGAGTAAGAATTTAAAATCAGAATAATTACAAATACTCTTACTGGAATGGCTCAAGTTGGGGGGAAAATCCAAGTGCAACCTCACCCAGGTCAAGGAAAGAATGAAAAGCAGATGGTTAGGAGTTAGGCTGACTGCTGCAAGAGAAGATGTGGAAAAGATGTGTGGGCAGTTAAGAGAATCCTTCCCCAAGTGCATGACGGCAGTTCTGGAACGCATGGATGGAGTTAAGGAGTGTCACTATTCTACCGCAACTTAGTCATGCACAGTTCCCACTCACGGTGACCCCTTGGCTCTCCCTTTCATGATAGTTAGTCCTCTCTCATTAAGCCTCATTATTCCAGCCATGTGTTCCAATTGCTGTGCTCAAGGAAGTACTTCTCTTCCTGTTGGCCAGCCCACTATAAGAAAGCAAGCTATGTAACAGGCCTGCTGACAGAAACATCTTGCCCTACTGGTTTGACAGCAAGGCACAGATCCCAGCCATTTCACAGCCAAATGAAACAAACTGCAGTTATTACCTGAGGGGAGGAGAACTTCCTGAAGCCTGTACTTCCAGAAGAAACCTTTATATGTTGTTTCTTCTCTGCCATCTACATCAAGTTTCTTCCAAACACTCGAGTCAGTTGGCCATCTACTTCCTCTCTGAAAGACACCTTTTCAGATCACTGAATCAAAGCAGTCAGTTCAGTTCATGCAAGCAGCGATCAGAGTTCAATGAAAGTGTGACTCCGCAGCACTACTGTCTGCCATATGGTAATACTGGTCTTACTCCTTCACATGGAAAACAAGCAAAAAAATGCACCCACTGAGCTCTCCAGGTTATTACTTAATACCAATGTGGCAGGGCATACCACTCAAGTTTTCAGTAAGGCTACTTGGACCCATTCCATTTAGGGCAAAACATGTATTTCCTCTATCTAGGCTTTGTTAAAGGCCAAAACCCCATGTTCTCGCCTGTTGGAAGACTCAGTCCAGTTCCCATCCTGAACTGGGGTTCTCTCCTCCCAGTAGGGGCACTGTTGCTGTAGGAGCTGAGAATCCTTACATCTCAGCTAGGTGTAACCATTAGGCTTTGCTTTCCATCACCTGTAATGACAAGGACCAACTTTAAACACACAAATTCTGGCATAACTACGGATTTGAAGAGAATATGCTTCCTGGTTCCTTTAAAGGGAGAGTTTACCTAACACATAGATCCTCACTGCAGATTCCTCAAAGAGCCAAGCCCTAAAGAACATCTTTCAAATAAGGCCATGCAAGTTGCTTTCATCACATTATGCTTACATGCCAGTTCTCAGAATGGGAAAACACTCCAGCAGAGGAAGCTGAAAGCACAAAGCAAGAACTGCTTTGCACCCCTGGTTTCAGGGCAAGAGTTACTCCAGCCTTTCTGATCTTTCCCAATCCTGTCTTGAACTTCCAGTCACTTCTTTGTCACCTGTATCTTTCAAGGCCTTTGCAGAGTGGCACCTTATAAGGCAATAAGCAAAGCCTGAAGTCAAACTCAACACACAAGCAGCATTTCCCATTAACTGCACCTTTCCCCTGCTGTAATAGATAACACAACCTAGTCTGGCCCCACCTCAGCAGAAATTCTGTATGTTGCAGCACATCTTAGCAGTTTCCCGAAGCTGGATGTTATGGGCTCCTACTGAACTTCACCTGGACTTCGCACCAGGGATTTTTTTTTTTTTTAAACCTTTCTTGCTCCCAGCTACTGCCCAGAGAGAATAAACAGGCCACCCTGAAACTGCTTTTAAAAGCAATGCTTGTTTGCAGATGGTGTAAATGTTAGTAGTGCATTCTCGCTCCAGCTTTGTTTTGTTCTCTCCCCACAAGTCTGCCCACGGCACCACTTGGCGTAGAGGTTTCCGACTTGCCTGTGTGAACAGTCTTCTTAACACAGAGCTGCACTACTCTTAGTCAAACAGCCAGAGCTGCACAGAAAACATGCTGCATGTCCTTCTTATCACATCACCACAGCCCAGAGCTTACGTCCAAGAAGAGACTCAGCTAAAGGGTGTGGTCACTTCTTGGACTAGAAAAGTCTCATTTCGAGCAGGGAACACATGTAGCAAGCTGTTGAAGGCCTCCAGTCCTCAAGAGCCAGAAATTCACGCATGCTTGTGAAATGAGTGTAAGGCTGAGTCACACATGAGCTATCTACCACAAAGACAAGAGGCTCACTTGTTCCACATTGTCTGCATATGTAGCAGGAAGTCTTGCTTTTTCATCAGTGATACTCAATGAGCAGGACAGCTCACCTAGCCCTAGCCACAGCATTAGGTATAGTTGCTAGCTACAGCACTGCTTCCTTATTTACTTAATTCTTATCCAGGACAACACCCAAGCCAGCAAGAAAGCCATTTTTATACGGTGGAAAAACACAGTTGTTCTCCTTGTTAGTGCTAAAAATGGGTGAATGTGATACAGAGGCTGGCAGGTCAGCATCGACCTAGACAATGCAATGTAGGTTTGGAGGACTGCAGAGTCCAGTTTACTGTCCAGCACAAAGAAGTGTCTAGTATGTTCTAAGAATGCAACCGTGCAGTCAAATGAAAGTGACAAGAATACATAAATCTAAATTATCTCAGGTTTAAGACACTGAGTTTTACCTTTTCAGTCACTTGTTCCCGACTATCGCCTAGGAACAAAGCAGCCCAACTCAGAGACTAAGTATACTTTCCTACTAATAGAACCAGAAGGTACACCAACAGCAAGGCAAAACTGAAAAGGCAAAAAGGCAGCAGCTCCAAGTCCTACCTTACACTTCCATGGTAGGTTTGGTATTCTGTACTGATAATTGGTATTATGGTTTGATAAGCCAAGTCTTAGCTTTGACATCTAAAATGAAGCTTGACAAATTTTAAAAGAATCTCTAGCTAGAAAGAGATAACAAAGAAAAGAACCTATCCCACCCAGTGACCATCCTCTTTTCTACAACTCCTAAACTTCCCTTTCTATATCTGCAAACTAGACTGTCACTCTTCAGATTATAGCCTGGTGACTACCACACATGTAAGGTGGCAGCAGCCTTCTCCTAAAGCAACTGTCATTGTTGTACCATCCAACACAATTTTCCACCTCCAGCAATAAGGCAGTAATAGAACAGGTCGCATTTGAGAAGAGTACTTGTACCCAGGCAGTACTCCTTTAACACAGCAAAAACTGACACCCTGATGATGTTACGAAATTCCTCACATTTTCATTCAAACACAGGGCAATATCCAGAAGTGAAGAATTTACACTTTATTGTACTCATTTACATAGGTCAAGAGGATAGTTTCCACCACTTCACCTAGCTAGCTTGTTTAGATTTTTTTTAAAGTAGAAAAGTCGCAGGCTATAATTTAGCCGAAGCAGTCATGCTTCAGTGTCTCCATAGAGGGAGATTAGACTAGACTTTTAATGGTCTCTTCCAGTTTCTCTTTATTGGCCCCAGAGAACTCCTGCACCTGTAAAGAGAGATAAATTTTTAGAACTGTTGCATTTAATGCTTCGTAACATTAGTTGTGTAGCATCCAGACATATATACATCTATTCAACTCTGCTACAACTAAAATTTTTTCACCCCCAAAGCAGGGAGTATTTTGCAGATGTTCATCTATTCCTCTCCCACTCAACTCATGCAAAAATTCAGGCAAAGGTCTATCAAGAGTCACTTCCAGACTACCATTGCTGGAGCCTTCTACATGTAAAACAAGGGAAAAGACAATTGATCCTGAAGCGATGTTTGTAAGACTCAAATACAGGCTTGAAGAGGCTCTGGAGGTAGCTCAAAGTTACCTTGGGCTGCCTAGGACCCTTACAAACCAAATTCTGGAATGATCACTCCAGATGACCTGTCCCTGAGCCTGGCTTCTCCTGTGAGAATTGTCCTTGTTGCAACTTACACAGCAGAAAGAGAAACACAACACTCATGTCTCAAAGAACAGCTCTGTCTTGCAGTACCTGCAGGGGTGCAAGGTACAGAGCAGACTACACTACAGGCCATGAAATTGCTTGCTTGATGCCCATGTGCCCAGACAACTGCCAAGGTCACCCAAGATAAAAAAGCCACACAACGGGGTTAAACATATCACCTTCACACTGTCGAATCATAATCACAATTCATCCAATTGCATTATGAAGCTGTGGAAGTTTACCCTAAGAAAACTGTCAAAGGTTCCTTATTAGTCATGATTTGGCCCCATATTGAATTAAAAGGTCATTCAACATCTCACACTCACTTTTCAAGGCACAATTCCATTGCCTTCAGCCATGAAGCTTCCATCCAGGCATTGTTTTACTTTGGAAAGGCTCACTTTTCTAAGGTAGCTTTACCAGATTGCTTGGCAAACTAAAAGCCCAAGATGACACATTTTGCTCAGCAATTCTTTAGCTCAGGCAGATAGCTATTCACAACTACCCTGCACAGGCAGCCCACTGTACTGTCAGAGTATGGTCTGCATCCCATCTCATCCCACCTCTTGGCAGAGCAGGCACAAGAGATCTGTTCAGTCCTCTGACAGGGACAAGACCTCCACCTCACAGGTTACATAGCCTCTATGTAAAAGCATCCAAGCAGTTGTTTCAGCCACATGTATATTCAACCATGTTAGAGACTTTTGTTTGGATAGGATTCCATAGGCACATACAATCATGTCTCTGCTTGAACATCTCTGCTGCATCCAGACAACAAATACTAACCAAGATCAGTAAAACACAAGGTGCTAGGCAGATAGGCTAGCAGTTTTAACCCAGACATCTAACCCCACAATCTCTTATGAAGCTCTGCCTGTGAGACTGACCTGTAACATTAATTCAGTTCACAACCTGTGAACAATAGGGTTTGCTTCATCAGTTAGCTGCCAGTTGATGTTACATTTGCTGCAGTACTAAGATGAGCTTGCTCACTCTCAGGAGTGTCCTAATGCCAGTGGTGCCCCAGATACATTACCAAGAGAAAGCAGGTTTACATTAACATTCCCAATCTTCTTTCAAGTGTTTAGCTTGCCTGCTCCAGTTCCAAGAGACCAGAACCTACCTTCTTTCCATTCTTGTAGAACTGGAATGTTGGCATGCACTTCACATCGCAGTGTGTAGCAACATCCTGGAAGAGAGAAAACAATCTTCAGGTATGCATGTCTGAAGGATGTTAAATTTAGAACCCACTAGCTGCCTTTTGTTTAGACAATAGGGCAAAGCCATTACTGCTCAAAATGAAGCAAAAGCACTTTTGGTATTCCATCACTAGCAAGAACACTGCAGTGTTAACATCTCTCTGAAGTAAGCCTGAAAGATGCTCCCTTCACCATTTAATTTATGCAACAGCAAAACCACATTTACTATACCTGTAGTCTGTGTTTGGAAAAAAAAAAGCAGACCTCTGCATCAAAACAGGTATGACTATTTGTAAGGCTCAAGAACCCTATGGCAACACTTGTGTTGCAACCCGACATCGTTCAAGTACCTATTTGACATTGCTGGAACTGCTATGCAGCAGACATTTTATTACACTTAATTCAAGACACGAAAGAAGAAACAGTACCAACAGCAGTGGAGAGACCAGACAGATCACCACACAGTTGTGAGCCATTAGTTTTAGGGAAGATTGCATCAAAGCAGTTTAAGGTCTTAGACTAACACTCCCTCCCAAAGTAGAGGCTCAGTGTTCCCAGGTTATCTAACACAGGCCACAGGGCTTCAAGTGTGCAGATAACCAACACAGTTTGTTCTGTTCAGGTACCCTCTAAAAAAAATTATTTTCAGTGTTAAGTGCTAAAACCATATCTCTACTTCTCAAAGTTGAAGTAATCTCTCATTCTGCCTCAGTATCTGCAAGGACATTTTAAAAAGACTTCATTGTCACTTGAGTGGAATTTGTTAGCCACTGTCTCTCAACATCACCCTCGACCATACCTGGGCATCATCCACATCAATTTCGATGAACACCACATCACCATACTTCTCACACAAACTCTAGAATAAAATAAGAAACTATGCAGTTACAGTGTTCCAGGAAAATTTTCTTTTGAAAGACACATTTGTATAGATTGTAAGGCTGGTGCTGCTTATCCCCCCCAGTGAAATGTGCTCTGTTACCTTAAAGCAGCTATTTTACTGACCAGAGCAAAAATTTTATTTTCTGCTCCAATACTTGGAAGAATCTACTGAAACTTTTTCAAATACACTCCCCACAGAGAAGACTCAAATATCCCAACACAGGTGAAAGGCCTTCTCTTACAGCCCTCAGCTGATCACCAGAAGATGCTACAGACTTTCTCACACTTTACCAGGAGGTTAACACTGGCACCTAAACACAGCTGCCATGATTACAATAACTGTGTACAGAAGGGTAAGCGTTGTTTCCACTGTATATACCAACTATTGAGGCAATGCAACTGTTAGGTCCCTATAAACCCGAGATGCATGTAAGCATTAGGACAGCAGAAGTTAAACCACATTTGAGCTCCCAACTATATCAAAGGTCAGTATATTTAACTGGACATTCCCAAAGCAGATACTTCTGCAAGTTCTCACTTTTCCAGAAAATGCTGGCAATCACATGTGGCAAAAAAGTTTCCTCCATGTTATCATCAAGCAGCACAAAAACATTTGCATATACTTTAATACAGCTGTCAATAAAAACAGAAAGTCTACTTACATGGAAGAAGGGCTTGATCATTTTGCATGGTCCACACCATGTGGCAGAGAAATCAATTACTATAAGCTTCTCACCAGCAGATTTCAGTTCTGCCTCAAATTCAGACTATAAAAAAAAAAGAATTGAACACGTTAATGATTCCCCCCCTCCTTTCTGAACTGATTCAGACTAATCCCGAAGCCAGCCTGCTCTCAGCGTAAACAAACTAACCATTTTGGTAGCTCTTTAAACACTTCACTTAACTGGGGTATTTGTAGGATCATCTAAGTGCTTCAGTATGAATTGCTTTCATCAGTGCTAACATCAGTCTTACAACTCTTCAATTAGAAGAGACCACAATGCTCAGTCACCTCAACTCATTGAACTGTGGAAACATAAGCTACAAATTCGTCTAGCCTCTGTTCTTCAAGTCTGGTAGCTCTGTTTAGTGTTACCCCCTGGATGGGATCCTTGTAATTTTTAATAATCCACTTTCTCATTTCTGTCTTGGCAGGAAGACTTCGATGTTCTTCTGGGACAGTCTCTCTTCTGCAGAATTTGAAAAGGACACAAACTTTTGTACACTCCTCCAGTTTGATGCCTTTTCCAATCAATGGCTAACATCAAAATGATGATACATGTTTTACTGTACAGCATGTTTTCTAAGAGCAAAAAAAAGCAACCTCCTAAGATAGTTATTTTACTTATTTTGCCAAGTGAACCCTCATGTAACATCACTAGCCAAAGCAATGCTGCACATACAGGCTACAAAAGTAACACCCAATACTTTAGACCTTTGAGTCTGTTGCACTTAGTCACACCAATCATTTTTGGACTTTCTCTTTGGAATTCAGAGGTCCTTACATGCCATTAACCATGTTTTCTGGTCAAAAAATTAATGTTTTAGCAGAACTGAAAGACATTAAAAAGCAATAAATACTTGCGTGCTAGTAAGAGGCAAACAAGTATCTCATGCAGAAGCAGAAAGTGCTAACCAGCTACTTCCTGACAGTGTTTTTCCAAAGCAAGTAGAAGCCACTTCAACACTCCTCAACTTTGTTCTCATGGCAATGCAAGCTTCAGGAGAGTTGTTAATACAAACTTCATTTCAGATTATGCATAAAAGTAGCTGCTTTACTCTCCCTCACTTTAACAGACCAGGGCATTACACTTCTGTAAGCAACAGCTAATTGAAAGCAATATAGTTACTTCCACATGTACACAGTGGTTGGTTTTGCAGTGTAGGAGTCAGCTAATTAATGTCAGCTTCTGCAATCAGCCACAGTAAGTTGAGACTTGATTCTAGTAAGCTATTTCATCCCATTAAACAATGCCATGCAGGTGAGGAGCCAAGAATACACACAGTCAAACTGGTCACAAGTATATTCTACAAGAAAGTAGAGGATCTTGCACTAGCATTCTTATGTATAAACGTACGTGAAAGTCTTCATAACTTCCTGTAACTTCAAATACACTTTGCATTACATCCCCCTGTTAATAAGACACTTCCCTCCCAATGCAGCTATCTTCAAAAGCACAGCCTCCACACATTGAGTTTTTCCATCTTTGCATCTTGGATACTCAGAGTCTACCCTGCTGTAAGATCAGTAGCTAACACTCCATACCACCTACTCTCAGCCTGAAAGAGACAGCAACAGTAAGTTTTCCCTTCTCTCCACATTCCCCCACTCAAGTATGACACAGTAGGCATAATCCCAAAAGTACCCCATTCCCACCAAAGTTCAATGTCCCTGTACACGGCAATCTACACTAGCTGCTCCCTGCAACTACTTATACCACAAATTCCTCAGTCAAGCCTCACTCCTCCCCACCTTGAAATGCTACAACTTGGGTTTTGGTACAGCTTCTCACCCCTCTGCACCGTAACATCACCAGCTCTTTACAAATTCCACTTCCTGCACTTGCCAGTTAGACCATCCTCTCCTTACCCTTAAGTCTTCTGTCCAGCTGCATAATTACTGTGTTCTGCAAAAGAAAGTCCATCATTTGGCCACACACCTCAGGTTTGCTATTGCACAGAACAAGGGGAAAGTGGGAAGGCATGATACCAACAGCTGGTCACACATACCATACACCATTGGAGACCTGGTCCTGACTACAATCAGGTGTTACTCTGCAAGTCACCTCTAGTATAAGTTAAAATTGCTGTGGCAGAACAAAAAGAGATGCAGGGTCCAAAGATGCTTACTCTTACAAGTTAGAAAACATTGTACTGGGGAGAAATCCTGAAAGTTTTCCCAGAGAGCTTAACTTCCCTGAAGGAAGGACGACAGCAGTGGGGGCAAAACAAGCTACCTGACCTGTTCAATTGACTTCCATAGTTGTCTCATGTTAACTGTGAAGTGACAAGCTGTCACATAAAAGGCAAATGACCTTTGTTAGCAGAATGGGAACTTCCCACCCCAAGACCATCTGGTCACACGATTACAGGACTTTATCACTTTGTTAACCAGTATTTTCTTCAGGTAGCACCTTGCTGGGGGAAACCTCTAACCAGTTGGTTGGGTTTGTTGTGTGTTTTTTTTAACATTTAATTACAAACTCCCTGATCACATGTAAGACCTCATTTTGCTTGTATGGTCCTCCAACAGAGACGTGAGTGCTGCATTCAACAAATACATTGGTAGCAGGCCTCTGTTTCCAAGGGTCAAGGAAGAGAAAAGGCTGTCATAATGGAAGCCTCTAGTGCAGGAGGGATTCCCAGCACCAGATAATGCCTCAAAATGGAGGCTACTGACCACAGAGAGTGCTGAAAGCAGCCTATTGCTCTCATCAATAGTAAGATAGCTTTAAGTAAATCTGCCTAATAGCGTGGACCTTAGTTGTAAACATTATCTCCAACATATATCAAGTCACCTTTGAACTCAGATTAACCCAGTCATCAGATGACTGCCAATGGTTACTACATAATTTGGTGGTTTTTTTTTTTTAATACAGAAGCTAACATAAACAGACCAAAGATTCAACTGCCAGAACTCCCTCGCAGACACTACTTCTAAAACTATCATCTGCATCTGAAGCTGCAAGTTTTCAATATTTGCTTTGTCTCAAAAAAGAAAGAGCCAGCCAGTGTGAAGAGGAAGGCTTTGGCAATGCCAGCTTTTTAACAGTTTATATACCCCATTAGCTTCTGCTATAAAGGGCATTATGTCCCATAGTGAAAGTCTGTTACAAGTTACACAAGTCGCCCAGCTCAAGAGCACATTCTTAAACCAGCTGAAGTACTGCTCCTTCTGTCCACTAGCAGGGACTTCAGAGGGACCAATAAAGCACTCAAAGTAGCCATGCCTCAGAAAGTAGTCGGTTTCTAAAATGCTGTGTTAGGAAAGGGGCCACACCTAGCTAGCTGTCATGTTCACATTGCTTTGCAGCTGTCACTCACAGAAACTTTTGCAGACCGTGGAAGAAAGGGTTTTCCTCTTTGTATCAGAGAATACAAACCTGCTTTACTGAAAACCAGAATTAATCCAGAAATCCCAGTTGCACTGTACTTGAATACTCTGGGTGCTGCTGATGTTAAAATCTTCTTGTCAGCATGACTGTTGAGTCCATGCTCTCCATGGATCAGCAACAAAACCGTGCTTTAACCACCGCAGACTGTTAATCAATGCTCATAGCTAGCAGGATAGTGGAAGCCCAGTTCACTTTAAGTTAGAGCAGGCTCTTCCTCCAAAGCCAAGTTTATTGCATCTCCATTTTTAAGCTGTTACAGCCTGTATCAAAAACCTCAAACCTTGCTCAAAAAGTTCACCCCTTCTGTCACTCCATAAAAAGAGGAGGAGGAAAGGGTAGAGATGCAAACCAGAAAAAGAATTTCAGGTTGAACTCACACACCATTCCATCTCCAGGACCTGAATGATAAGGCATTTTGTTCATTTGAACTGTAAGGAGCTTTCTGCATTCACAAGTGTTTAAGCTGTGGTCACAAGAATTAGTATGCTCATGTGTCAGATGTTAACACCTTAGCAGTCCAACATGGGAAGTCTGCCATGCTTTTCATTTATACAGTGAACTGACTATAGAAAAGCATAGCCTAGAAGACAAACTTGGATGCCATAAAGCATCACTCACAGGCCCCTCACAATCAGATTAAAGTGACACTTCCACAAAATTCCAAGTTCAAAATGCAAGACTAGCCCAACAGGATTTTTCCTGAAATGAAGAGCTTGCTAAGTTTGCAGAGAGAATATTTTTGGAGATTTGGGTTCATAAGTTACAGCTAACAAATACTCTATTGTTGTCTATCAACCACGTCTGCTGCTGTGCACAAGACCACATACTAGTTCATCACGAGCAGAGTATTCTCCATGTATTGGTCTAGGCTTTATTACTATTCTGTATTACAAAGCCACAGATGTGTTTGTATTCACAGAACGATCCAAACAATGAAGTGCTGCACTAGTGTACTGAAAGTCAGCACTATAACAAGGGAAATACTTATGCCAGCAACTCCTGTTATTTAAGTACAGGAATGAGCTCTAGTAATTTCTTTCAAGTCAAGAAAACTGGATTCATGTTTTCCATGGACTCCTATCCAGAAACACACCAGATCTTTGCCCAATCTCTACTAAGAAAGCCACCTGGTCCCCTACACACTGGCAGTACATAAGGCAAGCTGGAACTTCTAAATTAGAGTTCTGTAGGACCCTGTTATCAGCTTGAGAAATAAAACATGACATTTAGTAATATTTTAAAGGGAGATGAGCAACAATCTCGCATAATACGAAATTACATCACCTCCCTCCGACTGTCTGAATCCTTAGGTCGTACAGTTATTTGTTCACCCCCTTGGGACTAGGCGAGTCCACCCCTCAGTTTCCCCCTTACCCCGCTGCAGCAGTGAAGCAGGCTCCTCCTGCCGGGGCAGCCCCAGGACGCAGAACGTGTCCCCGGCGCACAAGGGCTCTCACGCACAAACGTCCGCGGGCCAAGGCCTCACTGGGGTCCACGTAGGCCCGAATAGCGGCATCTGCTCGCCTGAGCTTCTTCCGGCGGCCGGGGGCACCGCAGGCAGCCCACCAGGTCCAC